CTTCGTTGGGTGTATCCACCATGTATATGTCATATGACGAGGTGGCTTTCCAGTGCCCTATAGGTGCTGGTTCATGTTCGTCGTCTACATCATCGTCCATACCGTCGATGTCTTCGGAGTCGAAGTCGAGCATGTCGGTTAAATCATCGACAGTGGCTACGAAGTGGGTGGTGGGTGGGCGTCGAATTTCTTCGTCGTCCGCATCCCAATCCTGCTGGCCATAATCCGGCCCGGGCTCTCCTGACAAAGAGAGAGACCTTAGTGAATTCAGAATGTCGCCGAAGGGCGAGTGCTGAAAGATATCCGCGGCGGTGAATTCCATGATCGGCGCCCAATCAGATTTGATTGGCAGGGGCGTGGGCGGTTCGGAGTCAGAAAAAGAGTCCGGCACCTTGGAGTCACGGGCTGCGCAGAGGATTATGCTGGTGTTCGGCTCGATCGCCGTTGAGACTGCAGCCCCTGAGGCGGTGTCTAACCACCCGTCCTCGATTGGCATAGTTGGCTCCGAACTAAGGGTCGGAGCAGATGCGGGTGCGGCCTCTGGGGTACTGTTCGGCGGCAGAGCTAGGTCATACCCATCGCGACAGTGCGGCGCGCCCGGCTGTGGCTCGAATCCGTCGAAGATCAAGTCTCCGCGGATGTCGGCCTTGTAGTTCAAACTTCCAAATCTGACCTGATGGCCAGGGGCGTAGCTTTCAATCTGCTCCAGATGGCCAAGCGAATTAGCCCGCGGTGCAAAGCCACCGAATACGAAGATCTGTCCGGGGAGAAAAGTCTCACCCTAGACTGCATCGCTATCAATGATAGTAGGAGTCATCAAGTCTAACGGCGACGACACAGAGGAACTCTCAATGAAAGCACCAATGTCGATGTCAAAACCGGCGGATCTCGGGTAGGGGGTCCCGAACTGTGCGTCTAGGCCGGATGGTAACAGGAGGCAGGGGACACGATGTTTTACCCAGGTTCGGGCCCTCTTGATGGAGGTAAAACCCTACGACGTCCTGCTTGATTAATATTGATGATATGGGTAGTACAAGAGTAGATCTACCACGAGATCAGAGAGGCTAAACCCTAGAAGCTAGCCTATGGTATGATTGTATGTTGTGATTGTTGTCCTACGGACTAGAACCCTCCGGTTTATATAGACACCGGAGAGGGTTAGGGTTACACAAGGTCGGTTACAAAGGAGGGGATATCCATATCCGTATTGCCTAGCTTGCCTTTCACGCCAAGTAGAGTCCCATCCGGACACGAGACGAAGTCTTCAATCTTGTATCTTCATAGTCTAACAGTCCGGCCAATGGAGATAGTCCGGCTGTCCGGAGACCCCCTAATCCATGACTCCCTCAGGATGGAAGACAAGATACGGGTGGTCTTTCTGCCTGTGGATGCTAATATAATATTCAAAATCCCGCCGTGTACCAGAAGAGTTGACGATTTTTGGGCATGGGGAGAAGATGAAAGGGGAGTTTTTTCAGTAAGGTTAGTATATAAATTTATGCTGAAAATGACATTGCAAGGGGAAGCATTACTGCAGCCGGTACGCGGACACTCAAATGAGGCGGAAGAGGAATCAACTTGGACTTCCCTGTGGCACATTATGGTCCCATCGAAAATCAAGGCATTTCTATGGAGGCTTTGTCATGAAACAATCCCAACAGCGGGGGTGTTACATCACCGGAATATGTCAACTACGAGCGTGTGTGCTTTTTGTTCCGTGCAAGATAACTGGAAGCATGCACTAATAGACTGCGTGATGGCTAGAAATGTTTGGTCACTTTGCTCAGAGGAAACAGTGGAGACAATGCTTGATAATCTGTCCCTTGATGCAAAAAACTGGATCTTCACTATGCACCACTCGCTGCCACAGGCGGAATTTACACTGATGGTGGTGACCCTATGGGTAGTTTGGTGAGCTAGAAGGAGAGCTATACACGAAGAGATTTTTGATAGTCCATTTTCTACTAACTCTTTCATAACCTGTTACTTGAGGGATTTGAAGATGTTAGACAAAGGAGTTAGGGGAGGACCGAAGCGAGCCAACCTCAGGCAATCTGCGTGGTTAGCCCCCGCCTAAGGGCCATGCAAAGATGAATGTGGAGGCGACATTGTCCATGCAAGGGGAGCGTGGTGCAGCGGGAGTGGTGTGCCGAGACCGCAATGGAAGATTCTTGGGTGCTTCGGCTCTAAAACTCGAGTTCATCACTGATGTAAGTACACTGGAGGCGGTAGCTGTACGGGAAGGTCAAGCTCTGGCTGAGGATCTATATGAAAATTCTATTCATATTGCAACGGACTGTAAGAGGGTGGTAGATGATGTCCAGAAGAACTCGGCGGCTGGGTATGGAGCTATAGTGCATGATATAATACTTCGTGCAAACTCTTTTATTTCATGTAAAGTAGTTCATGAGTTTAGGAGCTCGAACTTCGAGGTTCACAATCGCGCTAAATTTGCTTTGTCTTTAGGGTTTGGCCGCCATGTGTGGCTGGGCCAGCCAGGAGATCTTGATTTTCTACCTGTAAACATTATGGACCACGAATAAAGCATGCGAGGCTGTCTAAAAAAATCTACAGTGAAAACGAATTAAATTGGTAAGTTTTGTTAATTTAGCAATCAGAGGTGGCTGATCTTATAATGCTATGTCGGCATGTAGCTGAACTGAACGATGTGATACAACGATAGCATAGTTGTAGACCCGTTCTTATGTCGGTGAACCGTTAAATTGAACGAGGTGATGCAACGATAACATAGTTGTAGACCTGTTCTTATGCCAGCATCCCGCTAAACTGAATGGGGCAAGACATGCTGGTGGGTCTGATTGTTGCAAACATTGGGGCGTGGCACCATAAGCTAGAGTGATCATGGCGAAAATGGAACATAGATTTAGTAGTGGGGATGGACTCGTGTCCTGCCAACGACAGATGGGCACATAGACATCTTCTGCATTTGCTTTTCCAAATTTTATTGAGAAGAAAATAAATAGAAATAAATAAATACATAGAGAAATGGCGCAAGTAACGTATCTCCCTAGCAAAAGGAAAAAGTAACATATGCTCCCTCCGTCCCAAATAAGTGTCTTGGAACACAGGGAGTATGTGTGATCCTGGATCATCGTCTGATGCTCCGTGTTTCTTATTATCTCGACGTTATGACGAGGCTGTAGTAAATATAACGCAAGAAACAGTGTTGGTGTCCTTTTGAATTCATTTGTTCATTAAGCAAAACAAAATTAGTATTGTGAACCAATGGCATCATGCATGATTTATTTTTCTATATATAAAAACATCATGCATGATTGCTATACTGGACACTGGTAATGGTGAAAACAATGAGAGGAGAGTGAGGTTGGCAAATGGCGATTATTGCTATGATTAGCCGCCGGCCGGACAGCGAATGGTGAAAAGTTAACAACTTTTATTGGCAAGCCATGTCCATTATCGGCGCGGAGGAGCTTAGAGAGATGGTCATGGCACGGTTGCTCAAGTAGGGGTAGGCGGACGTAGTACCGCCAACTGTGGGCACCTGGTCTCTGGAGGAGCAAGATGATTGACACGGGGGAGGAGGAAGAAGATGCTGCAGCCGCTGGATTGAACATATTTTTGTAAATATATTGTAGAGTTCGTACTATTTTACTATTTTTTAGAGACTTTATTATGTCTTGTACTATTTTACATTTACACTTTAGTATTCATTATTATTACTCCCTTCGTTCCTTGATATAAGGTGTATAGATTTTTGAGAAAAAAATCCAAAATATAAGGTGTATTACGTTGCACCACTCGTTTGGATATTTTTTTTAGGGATTTGATTACATTTCCTTATATCATGCAAGCTCCTCTATTTTTTCATGTCAATTAGTCAGGTGTAATCTCGCCCCAAACTTATGAAATTTTCCGTCCAGCATTTTTTAATTTTCGTGCCAGAAACTATACACCCTATATTTAGGAACGGAGGGAGTATTAGGGATTGCACTAGTTTACCTTAGTTTTTCTTTAAACTTTTTACATCATAGAGAAGGGCTTGGAAACAGCGAGAGGCCAGCCCAAGCCCAACCACGGGCCGTGTGAAAAGCCCAACGCCGCACGAGCCTCGTTCGTCCCAAACCCAACCCAACCATCCAAGAGCCAACCCGCACAAGACAAGGAAGGAGCACACACTTGTCTCAAAAAAAAAAAAAAAAAAGGAAGGAGCACACACCCCGACGCCACCGCAGCTCGAAGCCGGAGAAGAACCCTAGCCGCCTCCCTCCTCCCCTCTCCGGCGACGCAGGTACTGCTCACCTCTAGGGT